CTATGATATAAAGCCAGGAAAAGATTCTAAACACTCTTCCACCTCTCTACTTTCCCAAATCCCCTATCTAGACAAATCAGACCTAGCCTGTAGTAGCAGGGCATTTAAAGTCTAGAGAGGGATGTTCACAGGACTCCGTTTTGAAAGTCTCATGTATTACCATGGAGCATGCCATCTACTGAAGACTCAATGTACTCACACCAAAAGGCCACAAAAGACTTTGAGCAATAGAGGCAGCACCGTTATTTAGAATCTGATAAATCCATTTGGGGTAATCAAACTTAATCTAGCTAGAGAACCCTGCTTGACATTCAAAACCCCTTTATCCCTGTGTTAAAGATGAAAAGTATGTTTTTGGTACGCAAACAGTTTTTCCTGATTGTCTGAACCAGAAACACATCAAGAGCTGGACTGGTAATTGTCATGAATTTAAGGGTTGTGTTAAAACTGAGTATCATCTGTATAAGTTGCATATTTATTTGTATCCTTCTTAAGAATTAAAACATAATAAATATCTTTTCTTAAGATTGATATTTCTTTTTTATTTGTTTTTTATTTTTTGAGAGATTTAAAAAAATTTTTTAGTTAACTTATTTTTAGCTTTCAACAATAATTTTCATAAGCTTTTGAATTTTAAATTTTCTCCCCCTCCCTTGCCAAGACAGCTTGCAATCTGATATAGGCTCTACATATACATTGCTATTAAACATGTTTTCACATTAGTGATGTTGTAAAGAAGAATTAGAACCAACAGGAGGAACCACAAGAAAGAAGAAACAAAACAAAACAAGAAAAAAACAGCAAACAGTCTGCTTCGATAAGCATTCGAACACCATAGTACTTTCTCTGGATGTGGATAGCATTTTCCATCATGAGACTTTTAGAGATGTCTTAGATCCTTGCATTTCTGAGAAGAGCTAAGTCTATCAAAACTAGTCATAGTACCACATGGCTGTTACTGTGTACAATGTTCTCCTGGTTCTGCTTACTTCACTTAGCATCAGTTCATACAAGTCTTTCCAGGTTTTTCTGAATTTCACTTCCTCATTATTTCTTATAGCACAATAGCATTCCATTACATTCATATACCACAACCTGTCCAGCCATTCCCCAATTGATGGGCATTCTCTCATTTTCCAATTCTTTGCCACCACAAAAAGAGCTGCTATAAATATTTTTGTACATGTGGGTCCTTTTCCCATTTGTATGATCTCTTTGGGACATAGCCCTTGAAGAGCTATTGCTGGGTCAAAGGGTATGCACATTTTTATAGCCCTTTGGGCATAGTTCCAAATTGCTCTCCAGAATGGTTGGATCAGTTCACAACTCCACCAACAATGTATTAGTGTTCCAATTTTCCCACATCTTCTCCAGCATTTATAATTTTCCTGTTTTGTCATGTTAGCCAATCTGATAGGTGCGATGTATACCTCAGAGTCATTTTGATTTGCATTTCTCTAATCTACAGTGATTTAGAGCATTTTTTCATATGACTATAGATAGCTTTAATTTCTTCATCTGAAAACTGCCTGTTCATATCTTTTGACCATTTATCAGTTGGGGAATGACTTGTATTCTTATAAATTTGACTCAGTTCTCTATATATTTTAGAAATTAGGCCTTTATCAGAGACATTGGTTGTAAAAATTCTTTCCCAGTTTTCTGCTTCCCTCCTAATCTTGGTTGCATTGGCTTTGTTTGTGCAAAATCTTTTCAATTTAATGTAATCAAAATTATCCATTTTGCATTTCATAATGTTCTCTATCTCTTGTTTGGTCATAAATTCTTCCATTCTCCAAAAATCTTACAGGTAAACTACTCCTTGCTCTTCCAGCTTACTTACAGTATCAGCTTTTATATCTAAAGCATGTACCCATTTTGACTTTATTTTGGTATACAGTCTAAGATGTTGGTCTATGCCCAGTTTCTGCCATACTATTTTTTAGTTTTCCCAGTAGTTTTTGTCAAATAGTGAGTTCTTATCCCAGAAGTTGAGGTCTTTGGGTTTATCAAACAGTAGATTACTATAGTCATTGACTACTGTGTCTTGTGTATCTTACCTATTCCACTGATCCACCACTCTATTTCTTAACCAGTACCAAGTAGTTTTGATGAATGTTGCTTTATAATACAATTTAAGATCTGGTATGGCTAGGCCACCTTCCCTAGCATTTCTTTTCGTTAATTCATTTTATATTCTTGACCTTTTGTTCTCTCACATGAATTTTGTTGTTATTTTTTCTAGCTCTATAAAATAATTTTTGGAATTCTGATTGGTATGGCACTGAATAAGTAAATTAATTTAGGTAGAATCATCATTTTTATTATTTTAGCTCGGCCTACCTATGAGCAACTGATGTTTTTCTAATTATTTAAATCTGACTTTATTTGTGTGAAAAATGTTTTGTAATTGTGTTCACATAGCTCCTGGGCTTGTCTTGGCAGGTAGACTTCCAAATATTTTATAATGTCTACAGTAACTTTAAATGGAATTTCTCTTTCTATCTCTTGCTTTTGGGCTTTTTTTAGTAACATATAGAAATGCCGATGATTTATGTGGTTTAATTTTCTAAATAAACTTTGCTAAAGTTGTTTATTATTTCAAGTAGTTTTTTATTTGATTCTCTAGGATTCTCTAAGTATATCATCATATCATCTGCAAAAAGTGATAGCTTTGTTTCTTCTTTGCCTATTCTAATTCCTTCAATTTCTTTTTCTTCTCTTATTGCTACAACTTACATTTCTAGTACCATATTGAACAACAGTGGTGATAATGTACATCCTTGTTTCACCCCCGATCTTATTGGAAATGCTTCTAGCTTATCCCCATTACATATAATGCTTGCTGATGGTTTTAGGTAGATGCTACTTATCATTTTAAGGAAGATTCTGTTTATTTCTACGCTCTCTAATGTTTTCAAATAGGAATGGGTGCTGTATTTTGTCAAAAGCTTTTTCTGCATCTATTGAGATAATCATATGGTTTCTGTTAGTTCTGTTGTTGATATGGTTAATTATGTTGATAGTTTTCCTAATATTGAACCAGCCCTGAATTCCTGGTATAAATCCTACCTGGTCATAGTGTATTATTCCTATGATAAATTGCTTCAATCTTTTTGCTAATATTTTACTTAAAATTTTTGCATCTATATTCATTAGGGAAATTGGCGTATAATTTTCTTTCTCTGTTTTGACTCTTCTAGGTTTAGGTATCAGTACCATATTTGTATCATAAAAGAATTTGGTAGAACTCTTTCTTCACCTATTTTCCCCAATAGTCTAGCTAGTATTAAAATGAATTGTTCTTTAAATGTTTGATAGAATTCGCTTATAAATCCATTTGGCCCTGGAGATATTTTCCTAGGGAGTTCATTTATGGCTTGTTCAATTTATTTTTCTGAAATGGGATTATTTAAGTATTTTATTTCCTCTTCTGTTAATCTGGGCAATTTATATTTTGTAAATACTCATCCATTTTACCAAGACTGTCAAATTTATTGGCACACAGCAACAAAAGCAAACACCTAAAGGAGTTTGTTGACTTCTTGAAGAACTATGCCCTATTTATCCTTGTCTTCCCACACTATTTCCTAACATAGTCTTCTATACAATTAAAAAAAAATGCTACCTTGTAAGAAAAAGGAAAGGATGTATTTATACAAAAATATTTAAAAGCTCCTTTTCCGGTAACAAAGAATTGGAAATTGAGGGGAAGCCCATTAACTGGGGAATGGCTGAACAAGTTGTGGTATATGATTGTGATGGCATACTATTGTGTAGAAAAATGACGAGTAGAAAAATCTGGGGAGACTTATAAAAACTGATACAAAGTGAAGTGAGCAGAACCAGGAAAATACGGCACACAATAACAGCAATATTGTAAGGATATAACTGTGAAAAACTTAGCTATTCTGATCAAGACAACAATCCAATACAATTCCAAGGGACCCATGGTGAAAAATGCTTTCTACTTCCAGAGAGAGAACTGAGGAACTCTGAATACAGTTTGAAGCACACTTTCAAAATTTTCTTTATTTTTCTTCTTTGTATGTGTGTGTTTTCTTTTGCAACATGGCTAATATGGCAATTTGTTTTGCATGACTTCACATGTATAATTGATATAATATTTCTTTCCTTTTCATGGGGTGGGGGAAAGGGTGGGAGGGAATTTGGAACTCAAAATTTTTAAGAGTGAATGTTACAAGTATTTTACATGTAATAGGAAATATCTAGTAAAATAAATAAACATGTATTTTTAAAAAACTTAAATAAAAAATGCTTGTTTGTTGACTAAATGAATGAATGAACTTAGAGCTCTGAAACCACATTTCTTCAGGATAATTTCATAGACATCAGGCACTTCATGGTTAGGGCATTGATAAAAATGGAAACCGTAGCTGGACATAGAGATAAAACCACATACATACATATATGGAACACACAGATATACATCATCTGCTCTTAGGGTAGTCTAAACATGAGTATTTAAGGACTATGAAGCATTGGACTGAGGTAACAGGATATGTGTTTTTGAGGGACTTGACCCCCTAGTACTTTGATATGTGACAAACACGCAATAACAATAGTCTTAGGGGACAATAACTCAAAACAGTTGGTCAAGTTTTACCCTTTCTTCCTCATAATTTGAAGCACCTCAATACTGAACAAACATTTAGAATTATTGTCAATTAAGCCAGCAATTGTCAGTTATTTCATCAATCATTAAATAATTAGTTATTATGACATATCACAATAATATATTTATTATAATTAATTATTATATTAAATATGACTGTTTGTATTAATTATTAAATGTCTGCTTTGTGCCAGGCACAGTGCTAAGCACTGGGGATACAAATTGTGCCATGACACTATTGCTATTGCTCATCTGGCAGATATCACAGTGCAAGGGGTTGAGTCCCTCAACCTTGACTTGTTTTTAATTAAGGATCTTTTTTGGGGGGGGGGGGAATATGCAGGAGGAGAAAGGCTCTACATACCCTATTGAAGCCTGCATGGAGAAGAGGAAGGACTGATGCTTCTTCACGTTCACCCGATCTGCAGCAAAGCAGAAAATGTGGTCACTCAGCAGATACAAACCAGGATTCCTCACACTGAAACATGGAAAGAGAACAATGAGGCAAACATATATTTAGCTCCAACAATGGCCCAAACGGAAGGCTCCTTTCTAATTCATCATCTTAATGGGTGGCACCTGCTGATAGGTATGGACAAACTGCACATACAGCTTGTCCCTGACTCTTCACAGTTTGTATTACCTTTTCAGATGTAAAAATAAATAAATAAAAAAACAAAAAAGTGAAAAAAAAAACCCCCACATAAACCAAAAATCACCATAAGGTTAATCATAAGATTTAGAGCTAGAAAAGACTTAAGCAATCTAATCCAACCTCCTCCTCATTTTACCAATTGGGAAACTGAGGCCCAGAGAGAAGGAGTTCCCCAATATCACACAGGTAGTTAGGAAGGGAGCTGGGCTATAAATCCAAGTCCTCTCTTTAAATAACTTTGAAGGTTCTTTCAAGCTCTAATGCTAGGCTCCCACAATTCAAATCCAGTGCTCATTACACTCTTCAGTGGTTGTCTCAAAGGGGTTACATTACCACTGAGCAGCTATGCGGCTCTGATTTATCTCTTGCAAATGCCACAGATCTGGAACACCAGGAGTGATCCCTTCACCTCACTGGGCCTCAGTCTTCTCATTTTTAAAATCAGTGGTTTAGACTAGATTATTTCAAAGGCCTTTTCTAGCTCTAAAGGACAATGGCATGCTAGTATATGCTGCAGGAGGTGAAGGAGGTAGGCCTATTCCTGTTCATAGGGTCTGTAGTTAACATTCCATGCTACTTAACAGCTGTCTGGGAATCTCTCACCTCCCCTTTCCCCTGCAAACTCTCATGAACAATGGGGCAGCAACTGAAGAGTTTACAGATGGCACAACCCAAAAGCTAACCATGGAAAAAGCTGACTTGTGAATGCAGGCCCATCAAATGAATACCTTTAGAAGGGAAAGGCAAGAAAGAAAAAAAAAGATTAGAGTTCCTAAGGCAGAGTAGGCTGTGTCCCTAGACTCAAACTACATTAAAGACCCTGCAAACATGTGCTAATGAAGTCTGGCCTTGCAACCAATGTTTGATGAAGGGCAATGCCAGTAGCTACATCTCATCACCAGTCTTGACCCAAGGTGGCAGGGCTGTCTCTATTAAGAGAGAGAGAAAGGGTATTACAGAGACATCCTGTTTCAAGGGAGTAAAAAAAAAACACTAGAATATACCATTGAAAGGAAACCAAATAAAACTGAATAAATGGGTAAAGAGATGAAAATCTAAAAGAACAGTTCCATTGCCTGATATTTTACTTGATATTAAAATTTTATCTATTACAGGGTACCCAAAAGTCTTAGTGAGACTCAAAATTAAACTAAGACTTTGGATCACCCTGTATTTGTAATGGGACTCGTACCTAATTCAAGGCCTAAAAGGAAACATTTATTCTTCTTTTTCTGCCTGCAACTCAGGGGAGAGTATTCCTCCCCTGAATAAGATATCAGTCTAGGAAACAACCACTTGCCCAGGACTAGGACTAATTTATGCCAGGCAAGTGAAAAAGAACACGTTTCATTGGTTTCGGTGCTAAGGTTACTTCTAATGCCAAGTCAGTTTGGGGAGAAGGTGGAAGGGATGGGTGGAAATAACCAGTTTAGAAAAGAAGGGGTGCGGACTAGGTAAAGTTTTTGTCTTTACTCTTAAGACATTAACATACTGTCAACATGTCAGGATCTTCAGAGGAGAAAATTGGAGAAAAAGGATTAGAAAGAAGATACAACCTTAGGCTGCCACCACTCATTACCACCACCACCGAAAAAAAAATTAGGGATTCTATTAACCAACAGTGCTCAAGGGGCCATGAAGGATGGTGGCACAAGAAGGGTAACTTTCCTATTCATTTCTATAGTAAAAAACGATGTGGAGTTGAGTTGGGAAGAGAAGCTTTGGGGAAAAGGAATTCAGGGTATAGCAGACAAACATATCTTGGTGGAAGGATAATTTTACAACTAGAACTCCACATTCCATCAATCCACCTTTGGACTAAAATGCCATAAGATCCCAGGATTGTCATGTTGGAAAATGACCTTAGAGATCATTTAGTCAAACTGTCTCATTTTATAAATGAAAAAACTAAGGTCTAAAATATCTACGTGACTTACCCAAAGTCACAAAGCGAATAAGTAGAAAAAGCAGAGTTCAAATTCAGGTCTTGGGAATACAAAACCAGGGCTTTTTACATGACGTCATGCTCTCTCCCCACATGCATATGACAAAGGTCAGTCTTTCCTGAGGCTCTCCACATCATGAGAGGAATCTCACCCATCTTGACCTACCTCTTAGCCTGTAAAGTCCTTGATGGCAGAAGCTGTGACCACAATAATACATTCAGTTTCCAACAGGCCTTAGACCCTCATTCATCCTTTATTTTTATCAATATTAATAATGGCCCATGGCAACAACAGGAAGAAAATAGGATCTCTGCTGTATCAGAACTCTGAGTAACCCCAGTGTCTCTAAACTGATGGGGCTAACTTAAAATGGGGACACATGTGACGTTCAAATCATCTTTGTTTGTTTAAATAATTGCTTACAAATCAGTTTACTGGTCACTTAGTAGAGAAAACCCAACTGACTAGTAATGTTTTCCAAACTTCTTTAGTCACCTAGTGGTCTCCCTTCCTTTTCTTTGCATATCAAGACCTCAGTTCCTTGTTCTAATCCTGCCACTAACTAGCTGTATTACTTTGGGTAAGCCACTTAACTCGTCTGTTCCTGACTTCTTCATTTATAAACTAAAGGGACTGGACATGATTGCTGAGGCTTTGCATCACTCTAACAATCTGTGAATCTGTTCCTTCTCCTCGGGCTTCTTGTTTTAAGGGTCTAGGCAGAAGTTAGGCAATCCTTTTTTCTTCCTAATGAATAGAGAGTATTGTTTTCATGCTATACTTTGTTTCTTCTTAAGTAGAAAAGCCAAGCATTTTCCATTTATTTTTGTAAAGAATAAGAAAGAATAATTTGGAATAAAATTCTCTCCAAAGTTCCTCCCTGGTTTTGTATTCATTCCTAACATATGATGACCCTTCCAACTCCCTGGGGTTTAAAAAAAAAAAAAAAAAGATCACATAATGGTATCATTAACTACTGCTAAAATCAATTAGACAAGATAAAGGTTTGAAATCTACAAAGCAAAAAATAAAAAGTCCTTTCAGAAATTTGCACAACAAATGGCAACCCGAACTCCTAGTCCTCTTTCTTAGTAGGCTTGCTTGTGCAAAGCCCAAGGAAATCCGTATTGTTTAGCTGGATTTTGAATTGGAGACACATTAAACAAATGTCTCAAAATGAAAAGTAACTACCTTCCAGCTGGGGGAAATAATATAAAAGAACTTACATATGTGAAACAACTGCAAGTATAACCGTGTGTTCTGATGGATTCGTAGCTCGGATTGATCTGAAACGAGAAGATGCAAAGTCCAACAACATTCATTGTCTTTGCTTTGCCAAGCTAGTCCCATATGGCATGTCTTAGCACTTGAAACAGCGCAAAGTCATTTAATCAGCAAATGAGTTTCTATACAGGATGGCGTGAAGAGCTGTGGGGAGCAGCAAAGTAAGATGCCCTTGTATCTTGGAGCAAAAACTCACTTTGTTGTTGTTTTTTACTCAATTCAGAGGGACTCAATGCATATTCCTGGCAATTTTCCAGTAGATCAAAGCTGTCAATTTTCCACTTCAAAACTTGGCAGATTACATTGAAATTCCATGTTTTCTGGTTCAATTTCCATTTTGTGGGAAAAAAAAACTGGCAGCCCCACAATCCTCCAGTTATTTGTATGGTATTGGGGATTTTATCATGTTGGAGTTTTTTCTTTTTAAGATAGTAGTCCAGAAAGATGACTTTAAAATAAAAATTAAGATGTTCTTTAGCAGCTAGAGATACCAAATACAGTTCTAATCCTTTTTACAATAAACTCCAAAAAACTAATTTAAAAGCTTTTGTTGCAGTGGATTCAGTGAACAACAAAAGTTGCTTGGAATATTTCTTAAATAAAAATCTGCAGATCCCCCCCCCCAAAAAAAATTTGCCCTACATAAATAGAGATGAGGACAAGAATTTAGATATGGAAGGGACCTTAGAAGTCAATGAGTTTGAATTTCCTCATTTTATAGATGAAGAAACTAAGGCTGAGAGAGACTAAGTAACTTGACCGAGGTCACACAGCTGATAAGTGTCTGAGGCAGTATTTAAATTCAGGGCTTCTGGACTCCAAGCTAAATGCTCATATGAAGTCTATTCCTCTTCCTAGGAGCTAATCTAATGTTCTATTTTTCTTCCTTTCTATCTAAGATTACTTTGGCTGCTTTGTATATGTTTTGCATATAACTACATATGTACATGTTGTCTCCCCTTACAGAATGTAATCTCTTTGAGGGCAGAGATTATTTTACTTTTGTCTTACTATCCTTAACACATGCCTAGTACATAGTAGTACTCAATATATATTTGTTGATTGATTGATTGTGTGGTCTATGAGTTAGTGACTCAGAAAGCATCTAGATCTTGAATCTAGCCCAGATCCAGTTGTTTCTACCTATTATAATATATTTTGGTTCGTTGTTGTCCTTTGTTCTAAAAGAGGACCGAAATGACAACACAGTGTTGAGGTGGTACAGTACATCTGATTGTGGCTGATTAGACCAATAAGAGCTCAGAATGCTCTACTGCAGGTCGGGCACAAATAGTCCATGTGAATATTTGGAGTGGCGATGGCTGTAAATTTGCACATAGCGTATTTCTTTTGAGCTACTGCAATTCTGCTTCACTCAGAGCACAGCACACCATGCTGGGCGGTCCTGCGCCAGTGTCTCCCATGTCACACAACCAATTTTGGTTACTAGTTGTCTTGGAGGACACTCAGGTTTCTCATCTACTTTCTGTTGGTTTCAATTTAATGATGCATACTTCCTAGATTACAACTAAGAAAGTCTGATCTATGGGATAAGCTGAACTTCAAGGCTGATCCTGGGTAAAAATTTTAAGTTAGGAAAGGTTTGCCTTTGGCTCTTTTGGTTTTCCTCTCTATCTTAGTTGCCATTTTGGTTTCTTCCCTCTCAGGGCTCTACTGTTACCATAAGTAATAAAGTCAGGACAGGGAGCTGTTGGAGCAAGAAGGCGGCAGATGTTGATCTCCTCTCTGCTGTGCTCTGTTAGGATACATAAAATCAGCAGAAAAAGAGAAGAGCTCTTGGTTAGTGTTTCTAAAGAATGGCTCTTCTACTCTTGCTATAGATTGTTTTAACACAGTGAGCTGGCGAGATATCGGGATGGCAGAATGATGTTACTGTAGGGATCAGATGTTACTGTTTAGTTTTCCCTGTATATCGCTGTTGGTGTTCTCCTGTACTACGTGTATCTCTACTGATATTCCCCTGTGTCCTATGTACAAAGCCAGGCTATAGGCTACCTAAGATCTTGGGCACAAAGACTGCCAAAAGGGTTAGTGGTAAAGAATATGAGTTGCAGGATCGGTGACAGCTGTAACTTCCACAACTAATATGTTTTTCCTTAGTCTCTTAGATAGCCAATTCTGAGGGCCCAGAGACATTTGCCCTCACTGGGAAGTTCCAGATTTTTAAAAAATTTCTTTTCACCCAGGAAATCTTAATTATACCATGTTTCATTTTCTTGAGACCCTGCTCTTTGCTTGCAACGGTTGGGAGTAGGGAGGGCATGCAGGGCATGGGGAGAAGAAGTAGCTGGATAATCCAAAAATCTCAGTTAGTGTGTTGTCCAGTCATGTCTGACTCCTTGTGACCGATGCCATTTGGGTTTGTTTGTTTGTTTTTTGGCAAAGACACTGGAGTGGTTTGCCATTTCCTTCTCCAGCTCATTTTATAGATAAGGAAATTGAGGCAAACAGGGTTGAATGACATGACCAGGGTCACATAGCTGGTAAGTGTCTGAGGCCGGATGTGAATTCATGAAGATGGAATCAACCCAATTCCAAGCCCACTATTCTATCCACCATGCCACCTAGCTGCCCATTGTGTTAGTAAGTACTAATGGGTAAAGAATGCATTAAATGGAGGATAATACCTTACTGAAATGTGTTACTCTAATGGTGGGAATTCTAGGAACTTGTCATAGGCCAATGAAGAAGAACTTTGGAGGGGAAGGGTGTAGGTGAGAGTCTTGTGTTATTTCTCAACATCATCTAGGAAACTTCTTATTCAACTTCCCTGTGAATCTGACTCTACTTAGGTGTATTTACTTCTCTGTCTACTTTGAGCATGTTCAGATAGTCAAAGTAATAAGATGAAATCTCTCCTAATGAGAGAATTCATCAGTAGCAAACATTCTAGTGAAACATGCATCCAACTATCTTGCCCATAGCCTAAAGTAAACATTTGAAAATTCTGAATTTTATAGTTTTCTTCTCATCCTCAATTCTACTAATACAGACTCATCTTTCTTATATGACAGTGCCTTCTTTCCTGACATTCAAGGAACAGCACAAAATTTGTCTGTAAAATAAAGCCCTTGCTCCAATATTGTGATCACTTCCTATTCATTTTCATGACTGCTGGAATTTTTACCATCTAACTATGGACTGAAGTTAAAAAATACCTTTATAAATCCATGTGATAATGAAGGTAATGAGGATTAGAAAAAAATTATTATGTTTAGTTGAAAGTACGTCCATGCTACCTTCTGAAACTTGAAAAAGAATAGTGCACATTGAGATTGAAAAGAATTTCACCCAAATAATGTATAGCTACATTCCTAAGTACACAGGATATTGGATTAAGGGGAAAAATTAATCATGTTATTTGAAATAATTTTTCCAGTTTGCTTTATAAAAGGTCCTTATCTGAGAATCAGGAGGCTCAAACAAAGGACCAAAGAGGCACAATTTTGCAGTGACTTTTCTTCATTTGTGAATTCTTCATTGTGCTACTGAAAGACCCCAACAAGTAATTTTCCTGCCTTTAACTTCACTTGCTTAATTCTATTAAAATTTCTGGCAGCAGATTTGACTCCTGAGATAGAGTTGGTGCTGGTCTCAAATTTTATTAGTGAATTGTTCACGTCTACCTCTTATCTATCCCACTTCCAGATTGAATTATTACTCTTCCTTGGCACCTACTTATAAACATGAGTAACTTTTTTTTCATTGAATTCAGATACTTGTGAAAATAGGAAAGTAGAACCCTTGGGTACCTGGAAGATGAGAAGTAGGACTGATTTTGCTAATTTAGTATTAAACTTGCTTTATGATGGAACTTGTCTATAGCAGGCAAGGAGAAATGGACATTTCTAACTGTTCTGATCCTTTTTTATCTTTATTTTATTTTGTTGGTGAGGAAGCAATGAAGACTGAAATATCTAATTTGAATCTTTTTTTTTTCAGCCAAAGACAAGGTTTATTAATGATCCACCATATTAGCCAGATTTTTGAGGAATCTGAGAGTCTGTGAAGTATTGGCTAGATTCTAAGAATCAGAGCAGTGGCCAGATTTTAAGAATCTAAGCCTCTAATTTGAATCTTAACCCTACTCAAAAAGTAAGAATTTTGTAGATGTTAATACCTTCCCTGAAATGACTCTGTGGAGTCACAGAGTACTCCGGGGCAGTGGGGTCAAACTCAGATGGAAGTGGGGCCACATAAGGATCTTTGCATGCTGACTTGGAAAACCACATATGAACATTATCTATGTCCTATTGTATTTTTATTTATTTTGTAAAATATTTTCTGTTTACATTTTAATCTGGTTCAGCTACATTATACTCAGGGTGGCAGTTGGTCATAATTTGGAACCTGCCATTTCAGTGTTATTTAAATTTTAGAAGTAGACCATGATATAGCAAACTTGTAGGAGTCACTGTAGCTATCCTAATGGGAATCTGTCATAATATCAACCAACCATTTAGGAATATTTTTGCATGAATCTAACTAAAGTATAAGAAGAATCATATGAAGCTGTTAAGGGCTGATGTCCATTAGGTCCATGAAACTGACAAATTACCTGCAGACGGCTTCTGCATCAAAGTGTTGGTCCTGTCTATGGTCGATTACAATGATTTCATGGTGCTTATCTAAAAAGCACTCAAGGGCAGATTCTGGAGTTCGGGCGATATTACATCTGTAGCCAGCTCTATCACAGGCCCACCAGAATCCATCACTTTGACTGTCTTCCTTTGCAAAAATCAGCAAAACCTGAAATATAAGGAAAATGTCATTCCCATAGCAAATGTACAAGATGATTATGCTTAGAGCAGGCTTTAAAAACATAGACTCAAGTATTTTAAAACATTTTTCCTAATTAGTTTTGTTTGAGAAGAAATTAAAATGCTAAATTGACAAGAAAACTTATCTGTGTGCATCTGCTATCATTTTCATACATTAAATGACATGCTTCCAATTCTGCCTCTCATTCTTCATGTGCATAACTATGTAAGGAATAGATGTAGTATTGGGATTCCTCACATGTTCAATTCCCAAATGCAACTCATGTGTTAAAAAGGCTAGCCACCGACACAAAATTAAGTGAGTAGATTTAGAAACAAGCTTTGACATTTTCCATTGTTCCTTTTTCTGTTTTTATAAAATTTGATATTCAGAAGCCCTAGCAATTCATTTCACACATTAAAACCTCATCACACACAAGTCATATCTTGGTTGTATCTGCTGGAGGTTCGGAGTGAGTGGTGGGCAGAAGAAGGATAGGGATGGAAATCAGGGTAAAAAAAATCTTAGCTAATAGTAGGCCATTTATATAGTAAAACCACATTTGGAAAAAGTCCCCCTCCTCATCAGTGCTGAACTATTTGTATTTCAATATCAGAATGTATGTTTTAAGTAGTTATAAGAACAGAATGCCTGTGGGAGTTGCTTTGAAACTTGCAAAGACTATTATGTAACAAGTTGATACTGAAAAGTTGTACGCTAGTTGACAGATGGGTGGAATATAGGCAGAGTCTTAAACCTGAGACAAAGTGGGTGGATTTGGGAAATCTTCTAAGCTGGGATTCTGGTCATTTGTAGGGATACTGAAGATGAAGTAAGGGGTAGGAAGTATGAAGACAGTGGAGATAATGCCCACTAACAGAAATGGAAAATGGATTCATGGAGGAACTTTGCGCTGATGCCATTCACCAAAGGACAAAAGCAGACAGCATGAGTTAAAAGTCAGGATTGGTTGCAGGGAGACATCCAAGCCCCCTACAGTAACTCAGATAGGCAAAAGACAGAAAAGAGCATCCTTACATTACATTACATCCTTAATGTAAGCTCTTTGATGGCACAGACTGTCTCATTTTGGTATTTTTATCCCCAGAGTTTGGCACAGTGCATGGCACATGGTTGGTACTTAATAAATGTTTGTTAATTATCTGTTATTAAGGGAGGGTACAAGGCCTATATTTGGAGCAAGGTGGTAGGAGATCACAGACACAACAGGATTTCTTTAAAGTCCTCTGGCTTTAAGGATCTCAGGCCATCGTAAGGCATTAATTAACTTTAAATCTTAAGCGGCTAGCATTAAACTGGGTGTAGTTTGTTACAGGGCTTAGGGTACACACCAGTGGCATCCTGAACCTTCCTCTGGTTTCCTAAACCAAGGTTTCCCTGTGATCATGAGCATAGCCTTAAAGGTTCAGAATCATTCACTCAAAGCAGTGACTGTGCCAACCAAACTGATCCCGATTTAGCTGACAAATGGCTAAGAAAACACACTACTTTTATGCAAGAGAAAACAGATGAAGGCAGCTATTGCTTTCTTCTTCCAAGACACTCTGACCATGACAAAATCCGAAAACATTGAATGCAAAGGTTCTGGAGAATGAGAATAATTTACAGATAAAATAAAAATCAACAAAACTTTAGCTACACACATAGTTTTCATAATGGGGTTTGAGAACTGACCAGTATTCTGGGATTCACAGTGCAGCGGGACTGCACTATGATTTCTCAAGGGATAGGAGGGGAGGAAGGGAGAGGGAGAGAACTAGGAACTCAAAACTTTAAAAAATGAACATTAAAAATCTTTTACATGTAATTGAGGAAGAGAAAAGAAAAAATGAAAAAAAAAGAAATGAGAAGTCATGTTTCACTCTTATCTTCAACAGATTGGAAATAAACTCTAAATCTGGACTGAAGCTAACCCAGTCATCCTCTCCTGTGGTTCAGACAGTTCCAAAATCCCACCTCCTCCCCTCTCATTTTGTCATTCTATCTACTACTCCCTAATGTACATTACCTCTATTGATTATTTATAACACACATTTTTTTTTTTTGAGGGAGGTGGGCAGGAACTGACCTGCAATTTCATTAAAATAGGGAACTCCCAGGTAGGAAAACTCCATCTCCCATGCAGATGGGCACCTGCTCTGTAAATTCTAATTGCAAAGAGTTACCTGGGGAACTTGACAGTGACTTGCCTAGGGTCACTAGTATGCTAGTATGTGTCAGAAGAAGGTCTTGAACCCAGGTCTTTCATGACTTCAAGGCTTGCTCTTTGCCCACTATATCAGGCCTCCTCTTTAGACTGTAATACGTACTATTCTATCAAGCTGTTGTTTCATTCATTAAGATTTACTAAAAATTCTTGGCTGCAACATCCTTATGCTTGGCATAATTTTGTCTGCCCCAGGTGGTGAGTTCTATAAATTAAGTACCAACTTCTATACTTAGAAATGCATCACATATTCACTATATTAGACCTAGGTACTTTATACATTTTTAGTCTCATTCCTTCATCTTACAGAAAAGAGAACTAAGGCATGGAGAGGGTAAGGAAGTTGAGGCAGCTTGAAGGAGTGGGTAGGACCCTACACTTGGAGTCAGGAAGATCTCAGTTCAGATCCCACTTCAGATGCCAACTAGCAGTGCAACTCTGGGAAAGTCACAAAATCTCTCTGTACCTCAGTTTCCTCATCTGTAAAATGAGAGAGCTGACTGGAAAGACTTACATGAACTGATGCTGAGTGAGAAGAACCAGGAGAACAATGTACACAGTAACAGCAACATTGTGCAATGACCAACTTTGATAGACTTAGCTCTCCTCAGCAATACAATGATCTAAGACAATTCCAAAATATTCATGGTGGAAAATGCTATACACATCCAGAAAAATAACTATGGAGTCTGATTGCAGATTGAAGCACACTATTTTCTCTTTTTTGTTGTTTTGGTTTTTTCTTTCTCGTGGCTTTTCCTCTTCTTTTGATTCTTCCTTCACAACATGACTAATGTGGAAATATGTTTAATATGTTTGTACATGCATAATCTATATCAGATTGTATGCCATATTGGGGAGGGGGTGGGAGGGGTGGGAATTTGGAATTCAAAATCTTATAAAAAGGAGTACTGAAAACTAAAAATAAATGAATGAAGAAATAAATAAATTAATATTGTGAGGTTGAACTCTATGGTCTCCAAGACCCATGTGAGGCAAATCTGTGATCCCATGAGCCTATGTCCAAAATCAGCAAGTTAGAGAGTTGGGCTAAACTAGGGGTGCGGAGCCTGAGGTCTCGAGGCCACATGGGGCCTCAGAGGGCTTCAGTCAAATTGAAGTTTGGCTTCAGTCAAAGGGCTGTGCTTGAGGACCTAGAGGGCCCCATGTGGCCTCGAGACCTCAGGCTCCCCACCCCTGGACTAGACCCTGGTCTCTTACTTCTCAACCCAGTACAGATGCTTGTCTTTCACTCTACCTCAGGCAGAAAACTGTCAGGAACCCCATCATGCCCCAGAGAAATATTCCTGAGGATACACAAACAGAAATGCTCAGTAGGGAATTACACAGTGGCTTTAAACTATGTCATAGTGGATAGTGGTTGAGATCTAGACTATGGACCAGAAAGACCTGGGTTCTAGTCCTGTCTCTGACACATACCAACTGTGTGACACACCATAGACAAGTCACTTACCCTCTTGGTGTTTTAGGCAACTGTGTAAGATTATGAGCTGCAGAAAAAGTGCCCATCTGCATTGGAAGTGGGAGTTTCCTCACTTGGGATTTTTCTATGCTAAGGAAATCACAGATCCAGTTCCTATTCCCTATCTACCTGTAAACGTAAAGCAATCTAGATAATTTGAGATTAGGAGAAACCATTTTGGACAATTTCTCAACCAGGAAAATTGGAAGGAAAGAAGGAAGGAAGGAAGGAAGGAAGGAAGGAAAGAAGGAAATAAGTATTTATTAAACACCTACTATATACCAGGCACTGTGCTAAGTGCTTTACAAATATTAACTCATTTGATACAACAACTCTGGGTGGTGAGTCCTATTATTACCCTTATTTTACAAATGAGGAAACTGAGGTAAACCATAAACTTTAATTGCTTTCTTGTTACATGGCTTAAAATTTTACCCCAATGACACAGCCTGGTGGCCATGAGCTAGCCTCAAGTACTGAGGGATCAGGGTAAAGAATCTCACACTAAGAATGAACCTTTCTTCCCTACTGTTTGCCTGTATTTAAATGATCATCATTTTTGACTGTGTCAGAGGAGGAAAGTGATAAAAAGGGGCCTGACTGCAAGTGAATACCTTTAAAGAAATGAAAAGAGTTTGCAAACGCCAAACATTCCTAAGAAGCATTCAAACAATTAGGAAGGTGGCCACAATGCCAAATCGGATTAAATGTTTTTTCAATGAGAAAAGTCAACAGTCTGCTACTTTCTGTAGCCATGGTATTACCACAAGAAATTTAACACACAGGGCCAAGAAGTAAAACAAGGTGATACCACTTTTGTCCTGCGTAAGACTAGATGAATTATTGAATTGCAAACAATAATCTCAACGATTAATGTTTCCATGGCACCACTGAAACCTACTATTTGTCTAATTTATGCTAACCTATGCAAAGAGTCACATTCAGTTTTATATTGATAACTGTAACAAATAATAATGCTCTCGTTTGCCTTATATAGTCTCTTTTAAATACAGTTGGACTGCGCTTTAAGGAAACAAAAGAAAAATATGAATATACAAAGCAGATGAATTAAACAGTAAATTATTTACATTACAAATAATTCACCAAAATGATTCTTTAGGTAACATTTATAGCTTTTTTATTCCCATTTTACAAAAATGTTAAATACAACTGTCCAAGAATTATATGAATATATGACATATAAATCTATATATACACCTATATATACGGGGGGGGGGGGGGGGAGAGAGAGAGAGAGAGAGAGAGAGAGAGAGAGAG